TTTTAAATTAATAATTATAAAAAAACTATTTAAAACAATTCTCTATTATTAAAATCTTTAATTTATAATATTTCTTGAATTTTGTTCCTATTAAAATAAAGGGTTATGAATTTTATTTCTCAAAAAGAGATATAAATAATCTATAAAATTTTATATATTAAATACTTTAGGGATCCATTATTAGTTACTGGTTTATAATAATAAAAATAATTTTAAATTTCTATAAAGTTTAATATAATTAAGTCAATAAGTTATTATATAACTTTTATTTAACTATAAATTATTTAAAAATATATATTATACAGCATATTTTATATAATATTTTGAAATACATTATCAAAATATAATTTTGATATAATTTTTATTTATTTTTTTTATTTTTTTAAAACTTATGATCAAGTCAATATTGTATATTTATTAATTATTAAGAAATCAATAGAAATATATAGACAATTGCATTATGGCTAAACTAAATCTCATGCTAACTCACTTATCAACAGCTTTCAATTTTCAAAAAAAAAATTCAATTTTTAAATGCAATCTTGAAATAATATTTTGCTTTATAATAAATTTTAAGTAAATATTTATTTAATTTAAATATTATTACTAGTAAATTATCATTATCTATTATTTTCTAAGAAATTGATTTCAAGAAATTACAATAAGAAAAAGGAAAAATAAAAAGAATAGATAAAGTATATCTAAAAATATACAAATGTGCTTATATGAAAAGAAAAAAAATAAAAATAAAAATAAAATAAAAGCATTTCATGTTCTTTAAAAGATCTCTACTAGAAACCTCCTCTCATTAGGAACCAATCCTTCTGAGATATCCTTCTTCTTCCTAACTATCCAAGAAACTTATCCCTCCACGATCTTGATTATTTTTTGTGACCATCTGAGGTACTTATTGCCTACCTGATTATTTGCTCACGTTATTGAGGGCTTAGTTCGGAACCCGCATCTTTAGTACGACAGAAAATTGTAACACGAAAAAAAATTTTTTTTAAATTAATTTTTTTATCGCGATCGACCTATCGCAATAATCCATCCCGGTAATTTACCGTAGGGGTGTGTATAACTACGCGTACTTTTTTTTTTAACACACTTTTTTTAAAACAAGTATGTAGAACAAAGTCTTTAATCCGACCCGACGCAACTTTACTAATTCTTTCGTTTTTCAGTGGAACATTTTTCCACAAGACCACTTTTCCGATTCCTCACCCAGCCCGACACTGTATCCGCGATTAATTATATAACTGCCGACAATATATTCGACTATTATAAACGGGAAAGGCCAGATAGCGACATTTCGCAACTATATCACATGGTAGCCAAAGATTTGGAGGAGGTCCTCGACTCAAATTTTTTTAAAGAAGATACGACGCGTGTTCTGAAGGACATTAAATATAATTGGGCTGTAAGTAAACTGCTTTAACTATATACACGTATATGCATATAGTGGATAGAGCCTCTTGTTTAGGAGAAGGCTTAAGTATCTGAAAGGAAGTAGGGACTGCGGGTTACTTACTTCTGGTGTATGAGGATTGCGGTCACTCATATGACCCTGATCGGTGGCAACTTGAGGATTGCGGTCACTCTAGTTTGGAAGTCTGAGGATTGCGGTTACTTGGACCTAAACCACTCCTATTGCATTCCCCAATCGTTTCGAGCTAATTTGTGTGGGTCATAAATCTAATGATATCTTTCCTTTTGAGACGTGGAAAAAACAATGCATTCAATTATACAAAGGTGAAGCAAGGATCAATAATCAGAAGATCAGCCGCGATGTCCAGTTTGTGAGTGTATATTTGTTTGATTCTTATTCCTTCACTAAAAACGATCTCATTACAATCTCTATTTTCCTTTTATAAGCAAAAGTGCGTCACGAAATACCAGGGAGGTATCGCCAAAGTTACTATCACAGAAGTTGATAAATGGGTTGAAGAAGCTGAAAACGCTGACGAAGTTCGTGAAAACCAAAAAAAAGTGGGTCCTTATTTACGATCAGATATAAGTTACAAGTTACGGAATTTTTTATTAATCACGAAATATTGCTTTCTAGAGAAAAAAACGTCGAGATGCGATAGATATTGAAGAAATTGAAACTTGTCCGAAGAAACAAGAGGTGAGATCATGAATGCTTTTCAATGTTACTTTTAGATACGCTAAT